TTGACTATGTCAAAGAATATTTGCCCCTGAAGAAGAGTTCAAGAGTTTTGTTCAAATACACACACATCTGAGAAAGTTCATAATAATTTTAATTTTAAATTTTAGAAACTGATATATTAAGCCTGCGTGCTTTGTTTAAAATATTAGAACTTGAGAGTAAAACATCTAAATTAGAGGGCAAAAGTGAAATAAAAAGGATTTAGAACATTTCAAAGACACAGAAAAAGTTAAAATTAAAAAATCCAAAAAGAACCCAAATTAAGATAGGTTTAAATCCATCAAGCAGCTTACATGCTAGTGGAGGAATCATACAGCTAACAAGTCAAATGAGGAAATATGTAACTTTACATAACAATATATGCTATAAAGAAAAATCAAATAAAGCATTAGCTGGCACCTAGAAGGAAACTATTTTTAGATAAGAAAGGACCTAAGAGAGAAAGAGAATGTAGGTAAGGCTCCAAGGCTTTTATCTTGAGCAATAAAAGGTTGAGGAAAAAAGAGGACCAGTAAAGAGGTATTTCAAAGAGGGTATAATCAACTGTGAAATTAAGAATGCCTGGTTAATTTACTACAAACATCTTTCTCAGACCTAGAAAGTACAGCCAGTAGTAGGCTCAGTATCAAGAGTTATCATAGACTCACTAGAGCATATATACCAATGAAACCCAGGATTATTTTTTGGAGAGCTAGGTGGGTGAACTCATAGGCATCAGTGTACCAGCTAGCAATGTTGTGAAAGGCTGCAACTTCAGTGAATTTTTTTTGGAGATTCTTGCAACGTTTGCCCATTTCATGGTGAGTGATTTATGAGCGCATATGCCCACACCGTGCTGAGTTTTTGACCATGATCCCCATCCCCCACCCTCCCAAGTCACTCTGAATAACCATTTTTATTTCCCCAGATGAAAAAATCCTAAGGGAAACATTTTGCTGATGTGGAAGAGGTGAAGCAAAAAATGGCAGCACTAAAAGGCATCAAATTGATGAGTTCAAAACTGTTTTGAATAGTGGAAAATGCATCTCGATAGTTGTATTACCTTAGAGTACTTTGAAGGTGACTGAAGTTTAGATATGTAAGAATATACAGTTTTTAAAATAAATTCTGGTTATTCTGCACTCCCCTTGCGAACCTATATAGCATGGTGGCCAAGTATAAGATCTCTGAAGCCAGACTATCTGAAGTTGAACTGTGACTTAACCTCTTTCTAGTTGTGAGCTATGTGATCTTGGGCAAATTATTTAACCTGTGCTTTGATCTCCTCATCTGTAAAATGAGGACAATAATAGAACTTGTTTTCTCTAGTTGTTGTGAATTAATATCTTTAAAGAGCTTAGAACATACTTGACTTAATCACCATGCACACCTTTGTTAAAAGGAAAGAAAGGCCATTGCCTTGCTAGATTCTAGCATGGCCATGTGCTCTTTGAGTTATGACTGTTGCCATGCTTCCAGGCTTTGGCCCCCTCCCCCATCTTGGGGAGGTGAACCTTCTAATTTACGTTTCAATAAACTATATTTTCTAATCTAACTTCTGTGCAATTCTTTGCATCTTTAATGCAGCAGCAGATCACACCCCAGACACCCAAACCCCCAGCAGGCCTGACCTAACATTCTGGAGGCCCTGCTGGGAGAATGTGACCCTAACATATTTTGGGAGATGATCCTAATATTTTTGGAGGTCCCACTGAGATCTGCCGCTCTCACTCTCTTGTTCTCCTCTTCCACCCAGATTTGTTGCTCTCTCACTCCTTTCCAAAAGCCCTTAAATATACCCATTTCGTGGCCCTTTGAGGCTGCACTTGCCTCTGTTGGCCCCCTTTCCAGTCTGTGAAAATTGAATAATAAACTTTACTTCTACTTTCTTAAAAAAAATAAAAGGAAAGAAAAATCCCTATGTTAAAATAGGAAAGACAATTTTGCTTGTAAAGTACCAATCTGCATTCTCAAAAGGCTTAAGTTGGCACTAGACTTATGTAATTAATCAGCATGACTGATATGCTAACTAGATTCTGATAAAGATCACAGCATGAAATAAACTATGGTTAGAACATGCCTAGTCCTTAACTGCAGTATTTTGAATTTAGGGGTATGTTTATATCAAGTCATTTCTATTGTCATAAAGACTGTCCTATTAACTGCTTACTAGCTCAGAATCCTAACCTGCTATGCTTTTCCAGTTGGATTATCTTTTCAGTCCAAAATAACCTCAGATGAAAAGTGACAATAAAAAACATTTTCTGTAAACAGAGTACAGAAAAAATAGTAGAACTTCTTGGTGCTAGGTATTATGAGCCAAGAAAAACACTCTTTGTATAAAACACTGAAGTAGGTGCTTTGAAGAACTCATAAAAATTTATGACTCTTATTAGTGTCAAAGATAAAGTGCATATACAAGAGAACATTACACAATGAAAATATATGGCCAAGTGAGTAATGAATGATATAGTGTTAAAAGAGAAAAGATGGGGCAGAGGTCAATACTGGTCGTAAGGAAGTTTCATGAAGCAGTATTTTCATCTAGGACTAGGAACAGAAAGTCATTATGATTTTTAGGATAAACAAGGACTCAAATAATTTTTCTTTCATGTGAACTTTTTAAGGACATTACTCAAGAAAGAACTTCAGTAAAATGAGTAAACTAAAAGGAAGATACTCCATAAAACCAGATCTCCAACACAAGACAGGGTGAAGAGAAGTCCTAGCATCACAGCTATTCAGCAGTACTAAGGAGTCACAAGCACAGACTAGAGCACAAGAATGGAGGGAGGAAGGGTAGAAGGTTCTAGGAAAAAGATGGAACTAATGTATTTTGGTGTTTCATTCGAGTGATACATGTTTGAGATATTGAATCCACTAATACAGCACTTGGAAACAAGTAAGCAATAGGTAAATTAAGTGCATCGCCAACAAAAGCAAGTGGAAAAACAAAGCAATTATTAACTTGAGAGGGACAAGTATAGAAAAAAGAAAAAACTATATCACATTACTTATCTCAGCAGTGAATATTTGCATATGTAGTCATGATAAAGTACACACAAACTGCAGAATTACACAAACATTGTTAGCATGGTGAGGAGGGTAAAAGACTTCAATCCTCCACTATCCTGAGAAAATGCATGTCATTTTTTTTAAGCAACATAGAATCTAGAAACAGAAGGTAACTTCCAGTAGAAAGAGCCAAAAAAAAATCTGAAGTGTTGCCCTAAGGAGTGAGACTTGAAGAGGGGGTAGTGGTATGCGCGTGGGGGGGGGGGTGTAGGCCCTGAAAAAGCATTATATGGAGAAAGTCTTTGCTTGAAAATTAAAGTGGGCAGACAAATCAAAAGACTTATTTTACAGATAAGGTTGCCCAAGCTGGACTCCATCTTCTAGGGTCAAGTGATCCTCCAGCCTCAGCCTCCTGGGTGGCTGGAACTACAGGTGCATACCACCATATCATGCAAAATCAAGACTTCGAGAAGTGATAATATACAAAGGTCTGAGAGACTAGACAATGAGATCACTATCATTCATCCATGTAACAGTATTCATAAAGCACCCTTCTGGACTCAGCACTAAATCAGACACCATATAAAGTCCCTCCCCTAAGAAACTTGTATACTGTAAGAAAAGGATTGAAAGTGGCAGGAAACTGTGGGGGGGTGGGGTCGACAGTAGTCCATCTCTGCCTGGGGTGGGGGGGGCACACCTCATCGATAAGGGTAACTGCATGGTGAATATTTGTATACCTAGCCCTGAATTGTACCCCACAATTTTAAACAGAAATTAAAAGAGGAAAAAAAAAAAAGGAAACTTGTAAATACACAATGAACAGGAAAATAAATACAAACAAGTATAGATGTAGTAAAAACATGTGAATGGAAAAAAAAAACAACCTAATCACTGTGATAGAAAACGATAGTGAGGGGAAGACAAGGCCACTACTTCACTTAAGTTTATCAGGGAAGGCTTCTCTGAGATAGAAATTTGAAAGACATGAAGCAAAAACTAAGGCAGGAAACAGTCTAGCAGCGGTAGAAAGCCATTGTGGCCAGAAGACCCAGAAGTGAGTGGGACAATGATGGTTCAAGACGAGCCTGGAAAATAGCAGGGGCTCAGATCATGTTGGTATAGGTATAAGTTTAGGAGTCCTAAGTGTAATAAAGTCACAGGAAAAAAGTGTAAACAGTATATTCCATAACCTCACCCAGAGGAATTCCAACGTTGAGGAGTCAGTCGAGGGACTGAAAGGGAGGGCCACAGTAAAGAAATTTGAAAACTTCCCCAATATTACCTTAATATTTTTACTTGCACTTTTCTAAAGCTGCCCTGTAGCTACTATTCTGATTTCGAAAATTAAAGTGCATTCCTTTCTCAGACTGTTGTCACTTGGAAATGACTGGAGATACTTGCATCCCCCCCCCAAAAAATCAATTTACAATTATCTAGAAACTTATTCATCCCCGCCGTAAGTCTTACCACCGTGGCCCAGGATCTGCGTTCCAACCCAGCCACAGGGTTCCCCCGCCCTGTGCTTGCTGGGGTCACCCCAAACCTCAGCGCCAGGATTCTAACGCCCTCCTCTCCCCCCCTTAACAGTAAACACGATAACGTCTCGCACGGTGGGTGCTGTGAGGAAACGGAGCGCGCCGTCTTGCCCACTGCCTCGGGAATGACACCGTGCAGTGCCTGTCACGGGTACCGTGACACGTTTGCGCGGCCCAGGGGGGGCCCCGAGCTCAGAGGCAGGGAGTCATGGCCGCGGGCGGTGCAGCCCCAGGTAAGTCAGCCCAGGAGCAGGGCCCGGCCGGGCGGACGCTCTCGGAAAACTGCGAAGGGCGAGGACGAGATAAGGAGGCTGGCGGAGGCGACATTCCGGACGCCGGGGCCCCGGAGCCCAGGGCCGCAGCCAGCCCAGCGCAGCCGACGCGCAGCCTCCCTGCGGCCCTCGTCAGGTGGCGGCGGTTACTGCTTCCGAGGTCACTCGCTCGGGACGCGAGCGGGAGAGCAGGCCTGGCGCACGTCCGGAGGCGCGGACGACACCACCCGCACACGCTTTGGGGGACATGGCTCCCCTCGACCCCCGCCACGCGCTCGGCCTCCGTTCTTTGCTCCGCTCGGTGTTTCCACACGCGCGAGGCGCACGGCCAAGGGCCAAGGCCGCCGGCGTCTCCGGGCCGGGCCCGCCTCCCGGCCCCGCTGCGCAGCTCGAGACGCTCCGGCCCCTGTCCAGCGCTCACTCGCCGAGCCGAGGCTGCCGCGGAGCCAGTAAAGTCGGGGGTCCAGGCTAGAAGGGCGCGCTTTCGAAGGCGTGGGGACGCCCGACACCCCCTCTGCGGGCCCCGCCCGCGGCGCGGGAGGAGAGTGGCGGGCCCCGCGCCACCGGAAACGAGGCTCACCGACTCCGGGCGGTGGGGTGGGGGTGGGGGTGGGAGGGGTATAGGCGGGCGTGCGGCCTCTGCGCGTGCGGGAGCGAGTCCATTCGGGTCCTCTCAGCGGGGGGAGGGAGAGGGTCTCTACTTGTGAGTGAGGCCACAGAAGCTGTCCCCTCTAAGTTATACCCGCCCACCACATTGGAAGACCCTGCTAACGTTCACTAGTTTCCTATCCCAAATCCTGCTTTTAGTAACGGGCTTCCAGCGCCAAATTTGAATCTCGTCTCCCCTGTCAGCCAGAATGGTGGACTCGGGGAGGAGCTGGCGGGAAATTTGGATTTTGGCGGGTTCGCTGTTGCAGCCCCTCACCTTGCGCTCTTATTCCCTCCGCTGGTCTTCTCTCTCGGCCATGCCCTGCTCTGAAGAGACCCCTGCCATTTCCCCTAGCAAGCGGCCCCGGCCTGCGAAGGAGGGCGGCATGCAGCTCCGCTTCGCCCGGCTCTCCGAGCACGCCTCGGCCCCGACCCGGGGGTCCGCGCGGGCCGCGGGCTATGACCTGTACAGGTGAGTGGGGATCTCCCGGCGCCCGCGCGCCACGGCGAGAGGGCTGAGGTCAAGGCATGTTAGCTCATGTCCAGGCCCTCTGCGGCCAGAGCTGGAAACATTTCGCCAAAAAGATCACAGAAACAAACTCTTTTTGCATATATTCCAGGCTTATAGCCTTTCTCATGTTGAAAAACAGTTTTCGTCTTTAGCATAAATTCAATAGGGATTTGGGCTAAGAGTGCGCCGTGATAGATAAATAACTCTAAAATGCCCACCAAGGCGTTAGTTTCCTAGTGTACCCTTTCCTAGTGGGGGGGAGAGATGAATAAGGGTCTTCGTGACCTTAAAGGAGTGGCCTGAGGGTGATGCCGTGCATAGAAGAAAAGCCGAAGTGGTGGAAACCTAGGGTCTGAAAACATCTAGGAAGGATTAATGAAAGCTATTTTTGCCTCAGAGGGTTAGTTTTAGATCTCCAGACATTCATTCGGCCCAGGGACTAGGAATTTCAGAAAGGATCAGAAAATGAAAAGCAAAGATAGCACCCTTTTATTTGAACAGCACTTTTTACATGTACTAAACACTTTTCCCTTATGCTGTTTAATTCTCCTCAATCCTGAAATAGATGAGAATGATTTTTTACAAATGAGAGAGTATGTGAAGAGCTAAATTGATTTGCTCGAGGGCTTGAATTTAATAGAAATTTTGCCCTGAGTTTTGTGCTTTTTAATTTGACTGTTGTGCCCAGTTCTCGGAATCATTAAGGTGGGTGAAAAGTGATGCTAGGAGGGAGGGAGTGTTTATTATATGATTAAGTCCTGTGCATTAGAATTGTGCAAAGCATCTCAGGTAATTCACATGTGTGAACTATTGGTTTAAATTATGAATACAGGAGAAGGGAGAAAGAATGCTGGTAACAGAAAAGAACCGAAGAAAAGGTATAGACGGTTGGCTAATTCTAATGATTAAAAATAGAGTGATGCAGTTTAAGTAGACTCTTAATATATGTTTGAGCACTGTCGTGAGTCTTAGGGGAGTTTTTGATTTAAGATATTTTAAGTAGCCTCCTAATAAACACAGGTGACTTTATACTGACATTTACATGAAAATAACAGATCTCTTTAACAAGTTAGGGCTTAACTATTTAAAGAGGAATTCCAGTGAAAGAAGTGGAGGTATAGTACTGTACTGTTTTACTGATTCTCCTTTATTTTGTCCACACATTTTCTCCTTTCATCCTGCAGGTTTTCCCTAATCACACAGGATTGTTGTTAGAATAAAATGAGTAGATACATGTAAAACAGAACTGTGCCTGGCATGTAGTAGGGGCTTAATCTGTGCTTACTATTAATTAGCTAGTAAGTGCCCATTGACTCTATCTTCATTTTCCTTTTTTTATACTATGTTAGTGAAGCATACGCATTCCAAAAGTCTGCCTTTCTGCCCCCTCAGGCTAATATGTACCTCATTTTCCCAGTAAAGTTCTGTTCAGAGGTGAAGACATTTACATCTCTTCTCTCCACTGAAAATATTCACAGATAATTATTTTATCCAAAACTTACTATTTTAAATCACAAACTAAAAGAAAATATCTACTTCTGCCATTTTCATAAACTTTTAAAGATGAGCTGGAAATTCATAGCAAAATTTATTATAGAAGCTAAGGTTGCATTAATTTTGAGAAATATATCTAAATCAATTCTATATACCTGGCCCCAAAGAAAGAATATAAAAACAATCTTATAAATAAATTCTAGTTATTTTCTTTCAATATCTTTTTAGTGCCTATGATTATACAATACCACCTATGGAGAAAGCTCTTGTGAAAACGGACATTCAGATAGCTCTTCCTTCTGGGTGTTATGGAAGAGTAGGTAAGTGGTTTAAGAAACAGTAACTGTCAAGCTCTTTGTAATGTGCTCTTTCATCTTAGTTTCATGTGGGGTAATAAAGGGTATTGCTTGGGCTGTCCTCAAAGAAGCACCATCTGTGGTGGCAAATATAATGATTTGAAAACCTTCATTTACATATCTGCTTTTGCCTCTATCTGTTTGCTGTTTTATCTCTGCTTCCCTACTGTTTTCTCTCTGCAAAGTACTATAGCTTTTAGGTTCACATTGACCCAGGAGATTTTTCTCAGAATACCTCACTGTGAGAAAAATGGAAAAGTTAAGTGATTTTTAACTGGAGCTTTTCCCCATTGCTACCTCCCCCTTCGAGGATTAGATTGCATATGAGGTCAGATTTCTTTTTGAAGACAGTGATGAAAGTGGCTAAGAAAATAGAGGCTTAGGATGTGGCACGTGGCATTTATATTATGAAAGTGAAACTTCTGACCCCTGTTAGTCCCAGAATATATCAGCCCACTTAACCTTTTCTTGTTTTGGTATCCTCCTATGGGGTCTTCAGTGTTCTAGAGGCAAATGTTTTGTACTGGGAGGAGCTAGGACAAGTCAGCACACTTGATTTTTCTGGAACTAGTCAGTCGTCACCAGAAAATTCAAACTTCTTTTCAAGAGTATACCTACTTTTTACTAACTTCAGAGTAAACATAAAGGGGCAAATGGAACTGTGACCCCCCCCCTCCAGGGAAAGGAGTTAGAATAGCCCCATCTTGTTAGCCATGAGTGAGAGAACTGCTAATACTTCAGCCCTTAAAGACAATAAAATGGGCTGTCTCCTTAACTCTTTTTGGCACCATTGTGTGCATTTTTATAGTTTTTTGGTGGATTAAGGGCAGGAAATGGAGTGAAATAAGGGTCCGTGCAGGAAGAGACAGTATTTATTGACAAAGTACCAAATTTAAATTAATCTGAAATAAAATGCTAGAAGTTAGGATAATTAATGGTGGGCCTGATGCATAAGTCAGCAAGTATAAAGCATAAACTTAGTTTTTTTTTTTAGTGTTAAAAAGTATATAGGAATTGAATTTTTGAGGCTTAGTTTTTAGCATTTTGCTTGACTAATATTATGCCTTTTATCGGTTCATGTGTTTCATACAGGTAGTCTTTTGGCACCTGAATCATTAGTAGGAGTCCCAAATTCTAGGATATCCATACTCTGCTACTGTTTGGTTAAGTTTCTCTTTCCTCCTCCTCCCCTCTCTCCCTTACCCCTCCCTTCCCTTCCTTCCCTGCCTCTCATCTACATTGTTTATGATGAAGTCTCTGGTCTTAAAGCCAAAGTCCTCTTCCTCCTGTGCCCCTGCTAGCCACACTCCTCTCTCTCTTCTCCTTTGTGGCCAGACTTATTCAAAGAGTGGTCTGTGCTTGTTCCCACTTGCTCACCTTTCAGCTCATTGTAGCAGTCCTCCTAGGTCTACAACACTACAAATCTCACTTGACTGGAGTCATGTGGGAATGGTTTAAGTTAGCTTTGAATTAAAACCTTGTGAGGTTTTTCTAAACTATTCTTGCCAACTTTAGTAATCTCTTATGATAAATATATTGTTTAATACAGAACCATCTACTAAAGTTAAGATGAAGATATGGATATAGGTGGGGAGAGTGACATGCTTAGATGGCACCAATTATATATATCTCCTGTTGCCCTTCCCCTTTAAAATAGCAATGTCTCCTTTTTTGTTTTTTAGCTCCACGTTCTGGCTTGGCTGCAAAACACTTTATAGATGTAGGAGGTAATATGTTTATGTTTTTATTCTGTAAATGTTTGTAAGTATTTACTTTTTCTGTTTAAAAGTTAGTATTAAAATGACAGATTTTATTTTTGTTTTCAAGAAAAGGATTTTTTTGTTGTGTCTTGCCTTTTTAGAAATTCCAACATATGAAGTAGTAGACAATTGTGGTATAGTTTCAAATACTATTTTATAATGTTTAATTTCTTTTTTTTTTTTTGAGTTGGAGTCTCACTCTGTCGCCCAGACTGGAGTGCAGTGTCCGCTCTCGGCCACCGCAGCCTTGACCTGCTGGGCTCCGGTGATCCTTCCGCCTCAGCCTTCCAAGTAGCCGGAATTACAGGCATGTGCTATCATGCCCGGCTGATTTTTTGATTTATTGTAGAGATGAGGTCTCGCTGCCCAGGCGGGTCTCGAACCTGCAGGCTCAGGCGATCCACTCACCTCAGCCTCCCAAAGGCGCGGGATTGCAGGCTGAGCCACCGAGCCCAGTTGAATGTTTAATTTTTAAGTAACATGTAATATGCATGTTATTTTATTAATAGGCTAACTAGACACTATCTGACAAGAGGGGTTTTTGTCTTGGTTTAGTGATAATCTACATTTAGTCAAAATGCTTAGAAGAAAGTTTTGTTTTATAAGGGGAAGAAAAGTTTGTATGTGGTTATTTTAATTATATTTTAACTAATGATTTAACAGGTTTTTTTTTGAGTTTGAGTTTATCTACTCTTGTCACCCAGGCTTGAGTGCAGGGACACTCTCAAGGCCACCGCAGCCTCGACCTGCTGAGCTTAGGTGATCCTTCCGCCTCAGCCTTCCAAGTAGTAGCTGGAACTACAGATGCTCGCCACCACACCTGGCTAGTTTTTGTGATTTATTGTAGAGACAAGGTCTCACCAAGTTGCCTAGACTGGTTGCATACCCCCAGGCTCAGGCAGTCCTCTTGCCCTGGCCTCCCAAAGTGCTGGAATTATAGGCTAAGCCACCGCACCTGGCCTGATTTAACAGTTTTTAATAGTTACTTGTATTAGGTCCCAGCTGATGTCACTAACTAGCTAGTTGTTACTTAACATTTCTGACCCTTAGTTGCCTCATCTGTACAGTGTGATTAAGCAAAAAAAGTTATTTTAAAAATGCAGGAATATCTTGAAAGAATTTTCTTACCTCCATTAGAGAGTGTATCGCAGGAACCCCAAACTAGATAGGGTGCTCAGGTAATGTTTACTTATTTCAACCAGGAAAACAGGTTGGCAAAGGCATGGGTTTATTATTAGTTACAGGAGGGAGCCAGTGGCAGCCAGTTAGTACAAAGCTCTCCAGCTACTTCAATAGATGTGGGGAAAGATTATATATCCCCAGCAGGGAGGAGGAGTGAGACACAAACAATAGCATGACTACTCCCAGTGGGGAGAAAGGGTGAGACACAAACAATACCATGCTGAGCAGAGAAGCGGGAACAAGGGTGTTTATCCCCTTAGCACATACCTTGTGTACACAGATGTACATATCTCCAAAACATCTTGACTGGGTGCAGATAGCCTTGGCCAGGGGCCATCTTCCCAATCAGGAAGCAGTCGTCGGGGGAAGGGGGAGCAGGGTATAGTTACCCCACAGAGAGCTATCCATATTTGGCAAAATATGACAAGAAAATCTTTCTCTGAAGTCAGGACAGAAAATGCTGTACTTCTCAAATTTTTTTGTCAAGAAAGTCCTCAGTGGCTCCTGTTTCCTTTATAACAAAGCCTTACTCCTGTCTCTAAAAGTTGACAACTTCCTCATATGACCCCTTTCATGAAAAAGGCCCAGTGATAACAACCCTTGCTGTAGGATTTCTGGCCATCCCCTCATTGTAAAGAAATTCCTACTTTTCTGATATATTTCCCTTGCTTTGGATCTCCTTGGTTTGGGGTTCAGACCCCATGACATGGTCTCCATGTCCTGAACCTTTTTTTTTTTATGAGTTGGAGTCTCACTGTCACCCAGACTGGAGTGCAGTGGCCGCTCCCAGCCACTGCAGCCTCGCCCTGCTGGGCTCTGGCGATTCTTCCGCCTCAGCCTTCCAAGTAGCTGGAACTACAGGCATGTGCTACCATGCCCGGCTAATTTTTTGATTTATTGTAGAGATGAGGTCTCCCCAAGTTGCCCAGGCAGGTCTTGAACCCGCAGGCTCACACAGTCCACTGACCTTGGCCTCCCAAAGCACTGGGATTACAGGCTGAGCCACCGAGCCCAGCCCCTGAACCTTTTTTATCTCCGAGAATAGTGAGTGTTTAACTTAACAAGACATCAAGACATCTTGGCCCTCAGATAAATGGGTATGCTCGATTCTCCAACCATTTTTACAGAGCTAATTTATCAAAGCTTTTTAACAGATCAGAAAACTGGCTAAGAGATGAACCCAAGTTGAGGCATGTTAAAAACTGGAGTCTCAATCCATGTGATTCCAAGAACCTTGTTCTGCTGAGCATGGTGGCTAATGCCTGTAATCCCAAGCACTTTGGGAGGTGGAGGCAAGAGGATTGCCAAACCCAAGGGTTCGAGACCAGCCTGGACAACTTGACGAGACCTCGTCTGTACAATAAATTTTAAAAATTAGCCAGGCATGTCACCTGAGCCCAGCAGGTGGAGGCTGCAGTGGTTGTGAGTGTGCCACTACACTCCAGCCTGGGCAACAGAGCGAAACTCCAACTCAGAAAAAATAAAATAAAAATGGCTTTTAAAAAGTGTTGCAGCTGTTAGAATTTGTCTAGCAGGCTTTCCGGTCTACCCCGGAAGGCCCCTCCGAAAAAGAGGAAAAAAATGAACCTTGTTCTTTCCACTGCAATTAAAGCAAGATTTCCATGCCCCATTCCCTTCAATTAACACTGTTGTGAATTAGCTTACTGTTGGATGCCACCACAAGGGCCAAGCCTGGCTATCCCAGGGGCTGGTGTCTCCCCATGGTGTCACTAGGTGGTGCTGTGGGGTAAGATGGGATTCTCCCACCCCCACCCCCACCCCCAAATAGTCTATAGCTCATTCTTAGGGACTAAAGGGTTTTACATAGCAGGAATTGACATCAACTGCCCACTCAGGTTGAAGATTTCTTGGACCCAGTCACTTATGCTTTATGTTCAAAAGTGCTTTTATAAGGTCAAGTATGGTCACTTGGGACCATCATTTAAGGATATGAACGATTGTATATATTCTTAAGGAAGTTTCAAAAGATTGTGAAAGGGATGGGAGCTTTGGAGTAACAACTGGGTTTAGGTCCCAGCTGTGTCACTAACTAGCTAGCTGATTCTTAACTTCTCACTCACATCTGTTTCCTCATCTATACAGTGGAAATTTAGTGTGCCTGCCTCAGAGGCGTGGGAGGATTAAACGATAATGTATGTAAAACTTCTATCTAATACAGTGCTTAGCACATATTAGATTCTATAAGTTATTATTTCTGTCCCTAAGGGATTTCTAGGTATTTTTATGTGGAAACTTTTTTTTTTCACTTTGCTACTAATTTTTGCTCTATTTAAAACAACCCTCTGGGAAAAAAAATTCATGTAAAAGAAATGGAAAGTTAGTTTGCCTGGTGATTAGTATAGTGTTATTCATAAAATCACATTGTAGGGTGTTCATGGATGCAGAGTGTCTTAAAAATGTCTCTTAGGCACAAGTTTATCATAGTTGGCAACTCATTTTATTTCTAAAGAGGGATGTTAGATCCAGACTGTAAATAAGGGTCAAAGGGAAAAGTTGAGTATGCAGGATTCCGTTCAGAATTCACATCTGGTAGGTGTGGATAGTTTTCACTAAAAAAGGTTTCCAACAAATGACATGCCAAACTCTTGACACAGTAGAACTTTTGCCTGAAGTCAGTTAATCACTCTGCCAGTTCCAATGCATGATTTTTCCAGTGATAACTTCAAGATACTTTCTGCTTTCTCATGAAGAGAAATATCCCTGATGCTTAGATCCCTTAGGCAAGGGAGGAATAAGTCTTAGATTTTTCTTGAAGATCAAATGGCAATTGGGTAGTAAATGAATTTAGAATTATTGAATTTTTTTATACCATTGGCATTTATGCTAAAAAAAATATTGGGGCCTTTTCTTTTATCATACATTTTAATTGACTTCAAACAATTTAATTTCTTTCAGTTAGTTAAAAAGGCTTTTCATATTTTTGTGTCCCAGGCATAAAATCTTTATATCACCTGGCTCTACAGAATTCAAAGGCACCCAACCATTGCTTACTCTCTATAGGACTACTTTATAGATCTACAGCAGAGGCTTCTACAAAAAGGGAGTGTTTTTATATGGTAAAAGACACCATGAATTTAAAAAGCAAATATTTACAACTCATGAAAAAGAACATATAAGAAAAAAAAATCATAATGATAAAATACAGAGAGGACTTGCAAATGTCCAACACAAACATGTAAGAGGATAAAAGTCTAGCCTTGCTGGGTACAGTGGCTCATGCCTATAATCGCAGCACTTTGGAAGACCAAGACAGGAGCCTCACTTGAACTCAAGAGTTGAAAACCAACCTAGACAACATAGCGATCTTGTCTCTACAAAAAATTAGCTGGGTGTGGTGGTGCATACCTCTAATCCCAGCTACTCAGGAGGCTGAGGCAGAATCATTACCTGAACCCAGGAGGTCGAGACCGCAGTGAGTCATGATTGTGCCATTGTACTTCATCCTGGGCTACAGAGTGAGACCCCAACTGAAAAGAAAAATAAAAAGTCCAGCCTCGCTAGTCATCAGGGAAATGCAAAATAAAGCAATGAGATGCCATTTTTTACTCATCATATTAGCCAGAATTTAAAAGATTGCTGCCATCTAGTACTGGCAAGGATTTTGGGAACAGGTATCCTCAAATATTGCTGGTGAAAGTTTGGATGGCTGCACCTTTTTTTTGTTGTTGTTTTGGAAAATTATCTAGCAGTAGCCTTTAAAATATACATACGTACACTTTGACCCAGGAAAATGCTTTCTGCAACCTATTTGATGAGAATAAAAAGTACTAATGTGCAAGGATAATTGTAAAGGACTGCTTTCTTTATTATAGCAAAATGTGAAAGCAGCTTAAATGTCTTATATCATGTAAGTTACATAGAAATAATGGTGCTGTATTTCCAAATATTGTGTCTACAAAGAATGACTGATTTACATATATTAATCTCAAAGGATGTCTGATATTTTAAATAGAAAAAAAAGTAAAGTAATATGTAAAGTATATTGTAAGATTGTCTTTCTCAGGGAGGGTAAAGGAATATTATTAGCTTTTACTTTATATGTATTTGTATTATTTGGGTAATTTTGAAATTTTCTAATAGAAACATGAGCGTTCAATAGTCAATCCACATTGTCTTTCTCTAACTCATTTGACATAAATGATTTATTAGCCTGTACTTCAAAGTCTCCCAATATGGAAATTCCTTAACTTTCTCTAGTCATTTGTTCCACCATGGAACAACATGCTATACTAAGGGGTTTCTTCATTAAATTTAGTTTAAATCATTCCTGCTCCTGCAGTCAAAATTTCTCCATATAGATAATGTGGAAAACAGCTGGTCCCATCTTCATACCGATTTTTTCATAAATATTAAGGTCTAAATTAATGGTCAGCTGGCAGTGGGGAAAGAAACCAGAGTTTTAATATTCTTTGCATTGGTCAAAGTTGTTACTGGAGAACTAGAAAAGAATTGTTTCCTTTAGGCCAGACATGACATGAGTTGCCTTTGCTGCTTTTTCAGCCCACCCTTATACTCACCTTTCTCCTCAATGTTAAATATTTATTTATCTTTAATTCAAACTCATAAAGATCTTGTATTGAGAACCTTTTAAGAAGTGTTTCGATTCAGATTCACTTGTTACTAGTAATTCATTCATAAAGCACAGGGGTTCATTTAAACTTCTCATATAATCCACTGGAAAAATCTAAAATGTTGGTTTTTCTGAGTATTTTCTCCATGGTGGAACTAAGGGTTTGCCTTTTTTTTTTTCCTATGTGAAAACTGAAAGGGTATACTTATAGATTACCTTTTTTAAAAATGTTGTTTTTAGTTAGCCTTTCCGTATTTCAGAGTATGGGCAAACAGCATTAGTACCCATTGAGCTAAGTTCCTGATTATTTTTGTTTCCTTTTTTTTCCCCCTCATAAGGGTTTGGGTTTTTTGAGGGTGGGGGTAGGGTGTGAATAAGGAGATGATGTAACATGGAGCTACATTCAGTTGAATTCACATGAATCCTATCCAGCCTTTCACAAATTGAGGGGAAATAATTAACATGTATAACAGGAAATGGGGGTGGAGATGGGGAATGAGGGCTAGTAGGCGCAGGGGGTAATGAAAATGTACTAAAATTGACTGGTGATGGTTACACAACTCTGAATACACAATAAGCCACTGAACTGTATACTTCAAATGGATAAATTGTATGATATGTGAATTATATATCGATATAAAAAAAAGAAAATGAAAAGGCCTTGTCTACCTATATTATCTGTGCTTGTGTTTATGGAAACGTTTTAAATTCTCAGCCCAAAGATAAATGCTAGAAGTCTGGTTAGTGTAGCTCTCTGGGCCAGATCAGAGACCTGACTCATGTGTCTCCTGCAGAGATCTGTCCCTGTGTGCATAATCTCAAACAGGTACTAATTATACATATAAAAATGTACTCGTTACCAAGCTTATGTGCTAATGTCTTCTGAGAGAAATCATGCTAAGAAAGGTTGATAGTTCAAATTAAAAGGAGAGGAAGAATATGAAATGAAAAGTTCGGCTTCATTTTTATTATAAAAAGGAAATATTCTGATATTTGCAAGACTGTTGCATAACAGTGTCAGTGTTGATTTATTTCACTGCAGATCTTTAGGTTTTTTGACATTTTTATTTGACTCAATCATATTCCAATCTGGGTATTAGCGGGAACCTGCTACCAGGAAAATCCTTTAATGAAACAATAATTTTCTCCTAGTCTTTTTGGCAAGTGTGCAGGGGTAGACAGTAGGTAGCAGACAGTAATTGCCACTACCAGCTTAAAGTAGGAAATGGTCACAATTTGATAAGGATTGCGAGATGGAAAATTAGGACCCATTTTCTAACTTCATTTGCATTTTAGTGATATTTTGTGGTTTTGAGGCTTTATGTAATACCAGAGCAAGATTCACTGTTAGCTGTAAGACTAAAAATCTCAGAGCATGCTTGCTTCAGCAGCACATGATACTAACATTGGAATGATACAGAGAGATTAGCATAGCCCCTGTGCAAGGATGACACACAAATTTGTGATGCATTTCTTTTTTTAAATTGATGATCCCTGTTGGAATACTTTTGAGTATGAGACAGTGTGTCAGGTGCTGCAGGACATTCTTGAAGAAGACTCAGCCAGCAGCAACTAGACCCCACCCTGAGGCTCTGCATTTGTGCTAAAGTGTAATCATAGTCCATAGTTCAAGACCCCAGCTTTCTTCAGTTTAATTAATTTCTTATCTTAAAAAAATAACTATAGATTGAAATCAGCTGTGTTTGCCAGAAGACTAATAAATGTCTTTGATTCAGACAATTTATGGGTTATATCGAGGTCCCCAAACCCCAAGCCACTATTGGTACCAATCTGAGGCCTGTTAGGAACTCAGTGGCACACCAGGAGGTAAGCAGTGAGCAATGAGTGGTAGGTGAGCCCCACCTCCTGCAACATCAGTGGTGGCCTGCCCATTATTTTATTTACCACTTCTGTCCACTCCTTTTTTAATGGCATGTGGAATAATTATTTCATTATATATTGCAGTGTAATAATAATAGAAATAAAGTGTACAATAAATCATGTACCCTTGAATCTTGAAACTACCTACCTCACTCTACCCCCGTCCGTGGAAAAATTGTCTTCCACAAACCAGTCCCAGATGCCAAAAAGGTTGGGGACCACTAGGGTAGTAAGCATTCTGAGACTAGCTGAATCTCTAATGTTGCCCCCAATTACAAAAATAGTGGAGCATACAAAACAATAAAATAAAACTCAATGAAGTAAAAAACATCATTTGAAGGCCCAGGTCAACATCTAAACCTATTAAGATGCAGGTAACCAAGTCTACCTCTTTAGTAGGTCTGTGTACATAACTTGGTGAAGGACAGGTGCCCTCTGCTTGTGCTACCTCTTTTTGCCCCAGGACTGTGACAACAGCCCCCTGCATAGACCCTCACGGTTTAGATTAGAAGTGTTTTGGTTCACACACCTATAGTGTACACTTGTATATTTAAAAGATAGATGAGAGAATGACTTGTGGAATCAGTCTTTAGTACCTTTAATAAGTCTTGATTTTTGTCTACCTTATTTCATGAGATCAGCTCATTTGATCCTGTTTGAACCACTTTGCTTCTAAAAACTTTGTTCAATTTAGAAAGAAGAGCTCTTGGATGTTGCTTTATCTATGGTCAGTTAAGAAGTATATCTGTTTTTATAGCACAAATAACCCAAATGTCAAATATAAATTGGCTTAAGTGGGAAAAATAATTTTAAAAGTTGGAAAATGTTGGCATGCTTAAATATTTGCATGTTAATAAGTTTTCTTTCACCAGGATTTAGTAAATTTATAGACATATATAGGTAATTTATGTGTTCTTCAGGTAATCTCAAATTCATATGGATATATGTCAGAAAAAATTGTTTTCAAAATAAACTGGGGAGTTATAAAAATATAGATGAGATAAAGAGAAATATCTCAGCTTCCTAAGAATGAGATAATCTTACACTCCTAGTATTCTGATAGCATAAATCAAAATATTTTTTTCCTCCAGCTGGTGTCATAGATGAAGATTATAGAGGAAATGTTGGTGTTGTACTGTTTAATTTTGGCAAAGAAGAGTTTGAAGGTAGGTTAAATATGAGCATTCACATAAATGTAGTGACTTTAATGAGTTACGTATGTGTAAATTATATTGACTCCTCATTCTCATTGAATAAGACAGGATATAGAGAATCCATTAAAAAAAAAAATTCAGTAATAGACTGTTTTGTTTTTTCTTTGAAGTCAAAAAAGGTGACCGAATTGCGCAGCTCATTTGTGAACGAATTTTTTATCCAGAAATAGAAGAAGTTCAAGTAAGTATAAAAGCTGAGAGAATGATGACATAGCATCTTAGGTGAAGAAAAAAATATAATTTTGAGCATTTAATATGCTATTTGTAACTAAATAACAGTATATACGACAGACTTATTTTAAGCAAAATTAAAATCTTAGTTTTAGAATTTCTTGAAATGTTTATTTGTAGATGTTAGTAGCTTTACTTTGAATAATAAATCATTTAAATATACTGTGAACTAATATGTCCTTGGATTTTTAAAAATTATCCAATATTCTAATTTATGGAGCTTTTTAAAAATGTAATTTTCTTTTTGTAATCTCCCTTTTGAGAGGATGCTATAGCAAGAACAAAAATCTTACATTAGAAGCTAGAGAGAAAAACTTTAAAATTAACCATGAGACTTTCTATCTTTCAGGTTTTAGATGACACTGAAAGGGGCGCAGGAGGTTTTGGTTCCACTGGAAAGAATTAAAATTTATGCCAAGAAGAGAAAATGAGAAATTGTACCTTTTTCTTAAAAATAAAGTGTTTTTGTGTTTTGTAAACTTAATAGTTTTGCCTTCTAAAAATATTTAATTTGTTATGATTAAGGAAAGAGTATCTTTGTTGGGATCACATAGAAACTTTCTTGTGTTTTTATTCAATTGATGGCTGTACATAAATCTACTTTGTGGTGACCTAATGCAAACAGTGTCTTTTTAAAATCAAATGTCCATCAGTTACAGACAAAAAAGAAATCTATATTATTTAATTCAATAAATGATACTTCAGTAATATATTTTGCTTAAATTGCTTTAATTGTAAGCAATACTTCTTATTCAATAATTATTTCACAAAAATTATAGCATAGACTGAACTAAAAGAAACAAAAAAGAGGTTATTCCTTGTTCTTCCCTTCTCTTCACTGGCCTAAAAAATTTTTTTTGAATCTTAAGATTCTTTATGCAGATAAGAAGAAGGGAATCTTCAGTTTTTATTAATCTTTTTTGGTCCTTGGTTGAATAGGTAAACGTACATTTGTGAAAAGAAATATAACTTGGGGGTTTGTTATCCCATCAGGCAAATTGATGAGTTTCCTTCACTGAAGTAGCAATAATAGGATGTATCCAAGAAAACATGCAGTTGGATAGGTTTTTCCATCCCAAGGACATAGCTTGAGTAAACATTTATGGGCAGCATTTCAATGCTGATACAGGGCTAATTCTGTGGATTAACTTGATTAACATCTATTGCAGCTTTCTGCTAGGGTGATTTCCTTTCTTTACTGTATTTTTCAGACTCTTTTGTCCCAGGGATTTGGGTGTCACTTAGGTTTTGCCATCAGATGCCATGAGACTCACCAGGCATCATTCTGAAATCACACAGATGGAGTGCTTCTGGAGCTGGCAGCTCTGGTGGCCATCCAGTTTCTGGGATCACACGCTAGAGTTTGGTTCATCTGGTAATTCTCTAGGCCATCTAATACTCTGCAATGCAATTGTCCATCTGTGGGTCGCAATCTGTCAGTGAGTCATGAAGTCAACTCAGTGGGACGTAGCATTTTAAAAAATGAATAGAGGACACATGTCAGAAGGGTAAATGTGAAGATTGTTTGAATTACATATGCAGGCATATTTGTAAAGCGTTATGGTATAAATTATTTCTGTAGTCAATACAATTTAAATATTTTTCTGTAAAACTAGCCAGAATGGATTCTGTTCTATACAACTGAACGCTGACCGGTGCATAGTAACAGTTGAGTAAGAACAAATGAATATATGGCTACCACAATATATGGTCTTAGTTTACACTGTTAATGTTAGTTACCATTTGCAGAAGGTCTGCCATGTGAAACAATTCATAAGCAACCCATTTCTTATATTTGTGAGAGTAGACAAAACACCCATTTTATAGATGACAGAAATAGAGAGGTTTAATCGCCTGTACATTTCAGCTGATGATGATTACTGTCTGTTCTACTGTAACAATACCTGAGACTGGATACTTTATAACAAATAAGATCAAGGGTCTGGCAGGTTTGGTTCCTGGTTCCAAGATGGTGCCTTATTGCTGTGCTTCATTGCTATGTCCTCACATAGGAGAAAGCACACACCCACAAGCTTTTTTATAAGGCACTAACCCATTCATGAAGGCCTTCCTCCTAGGCACCCCCCAATGCTGTTGCACCGGGGATTCAGTTTCTAACACATGGATTTTGGGCACATTCAGATTATAGCAACGACTTAAAACTCTGACCCTTATGCCCTTTGCAGCATCTCCAGTGTCTTCAAAAGGTAGAGGATAAGTTAAGTGAACTGCTAGAAAAGTATGAGATTTAGGTGACGTTAAAATGGCTGCTCCTTGGGTATATTAAACCCACGTTATGTCCTTTAGTGAATAACAACAAAATAGGAACCTCTAAACAACCATTACCAAAGTGACCAGAATATTGTCAGTATGCCAGGAATATATCTCAATATATCTTCTCAATCAGACTCCACTTTTAGAGGTAACCATTCTTTTGATACTGAATCATTTCCTTTACTACCTACGTAAGCCGAAGTTTCATTTTGCCTCGTTTTGAACTTTATATAAATGGAATCATTATATGAATACTTTGGTCTTGCTTTCTTGGGCCAACAGATTTTTACCCATGTTTCATGTAGCTGTGGTTATTTTATTACCTCAGAGTATACCATTGTATTAGTGCACCACAACCTTGCATGCCTGGTATAAACCCAACTGGATCATTATGTATTACTGTTTTTATTACTGAATTTGGCTTGTTAATATTTTGCTTAGTGTTTTTTATCTACATCCATGGGAAGAGACTGGCCTATACTTTTTTGATTCTCACACTCAACCTTTGGTAGCAAAGTTGCCCTACTTTCATAAAGTGCCTTGAGAAGTATTCATTCATTTATTCTTTCTCCCTCTCTTTCTCCCATTCTCTCTCCATCTCTTCCACAGTTCCTGGCTTGCTTTATACCAATTTCAAGAGTCAGTTGTCAAGAAATCCCTGGGAGGTTACCTACCTTTTTCCCCCTGGTTGGTTTTTATATGTATATATCTTCGTTTTTGTGCATATTTTCCATGAATATGTCTTTGGGTTTGTGCAGTTGCACTATGAAGGTCTAGATTACTATTTATCTTTTGGGAATTCATTGAGGCTCTTACTCTGTGTATTGGTTTCTTTTTATCAGTTCTGGAAAATTCCCAGCTTCTCTTTCTTTTCCTCACTTGTTTCATTATAGGGTTTTAACATGTCTGCTCAAATTAGTTATAGTGGCCTATTCTTAATTCAACTTAAAGAAGAAGATTCTTTTTACACCAGTTTTAGGTTCAAAGCAAAACTGAGAAGAAGGTATAGAGATATCCCATATCCTACCCCCCACACATGCAGTCTCCTCCATTATGAATGCCCTCCACCACAGAGTGGTGTATCTGTTACAACTGATGAACCTATAGTGACATCATTTTCACCCGAAGTCCGTATTTACATTAGGATTCACTTTTGGTGTACAATCTATAGCTTTGGGCAAATTTCTAATGACATGTATCCCTCTTTATTGTGTCATGCATAGTATTTCACTGCCCTAAAATAATACTGTTCATCTCTTCCTACCCACCTGTCTCAGCCCTTCCCTGGCAAACTGGCAACTATTGATCTTTTTACTGTCTCCACAGTTTTTCCACAGTTTTGACTCTCCAGAATGTTATATAGTTAAAATGCAGTCTTTTCAGACCGACTCCTTTCACTAGGTCACTTACATTTACATTTTCTCCTATGTTATCTTCTAGGAGTTTTTATAGTTTTTTGTTTTATATTTAGGTCTGTGATCCATTTTGAACTAATTTTTTATGCTTTTTATTTTTGAATTGTAAGGGTTTTTATTCTGGATTCAGGTCCAAGGTTAGGTAAATGATTTGCAAATATTTTTATTTATTATATGGGTGTCCTTTCACTTTCTTAATGGTGTTAAGCACACATTTTTTCTTTCTTTTCCAAGTTGTGGTCTCACTCCGTCGCCTAGGCTGAAATGCAGTAGCATGCTCATGGCCACCCCAGCATCGACCTGCTGGGCTCCGGGGATCCTTCCGCCTCAGCCTTCCAAGTAGCTGGAACTATAGGTTCACGCTTCGATGCCTGGCTAATTTTTGATTTATTGTAGAGTTGAGGTCTCTCCGAGTTGCCCAGGCTATTCTCGGACCCGTGGGCTCAGGCAATCTGCTCATCTTGGCCTACCAAAGTGCTGAGATTATAGCACTTGATAAGGTCCAATTTTTTTAATCTATTTTTAATTTTGTTGCTTGTGCTTTTAATGTTGTTTATAAGAAACCATTGCCTAATCCAAGATCGTAAAGATTTATACCTAATTTTCTTCTAAGAGTTTTACAGTTTTAGCTTTTATATTCAGTACTTTGATCCATTTTGACTTCACTTAGGCATATGGTGTGAGGCAGAGGTCTAAGTTCATCCTTTGCATGTGGATATTCAGTTATTCCAGTACCATTTGTCGAAAAGACTATTCTTTCCCCTATCCAATTGTCTTGGCATCCCTGTTGAAAATCAATTGACTATAAGTGCAAGGGCTTATTTATAGGTTCTCAAGTCTATTCCATTGATCTATATGTCTTTATGTATGCCAATATCACATTGTCTTGATTACTATAGCTTTGTATTAAGATTTGAAACTAGGCACCCTCCCTGTGTCTCTATATCTATGACCATGTTTCCCTCTTCTCCAATCCAGTATGGCTAAGACTCTCAAAACAAATGCGACAAAAAGAAAAATAAATAAGTGGGACTTGATTAAACTAAATTTCTGCATAGCAAAAGAAATAATCAATAGTAAACAGGTATCCTACAGAATGGGAGAAGATATTTGCAAACTACATTTGTCAAAGGACTATTAACCAAAATCTACAAAGAATTCAAATCAGCAAGAAAAAAGCAAGTAACTGTTAAGAAGTGGTTGAATGACATGAACAGACATCTCTCAAAAGAAGATATACAAACGGCCAGCCAACATAAAAAAATGCTCAGCATTACTTACCATCAGGAAAATGCAAATTAAAACCCCAATGAGATGCCACCTCACACCAGTCAGAATGGCCATTATTTAAAAATCAAGACACAGTAGATGTTGGCACAGATGTGGTGAAAAGGGAACGCTTATACAGTGTTGGTGGGAGTGTAAACTAGTATCACCTCTATGGAAATCAGTATGGAGATTTCTCAAAGAACTAAAAGTAGTCTATTATTTAATCTAACAATCCTACTACTTGGTATCTACCCAAAAGAACAGAGGTCATTATACAAAAAAGACACTTGCACTCATGTTCATCATAACATAATCCATAATTCCAAAGATGTGGAATCAACCTAAATGCCCGTCAACTGACCAGTGGATGATGAAAATGTTGTAAACATATATACTATGGAATACTGTTCAGCCATAAAGAGAAATGAAATTGTCTTTTGCAGCAACCTGAATGGGACTGGAAACCATCATCTTAAGTGAAGTAAAGCAGGAAGAGAAAAC